ATATATACACACATATTATACATATATTTATATATATATATATATATATATATATACACACATATATTATATATATACTCACACACATATATATATATATATACACACACATATTATATATACATATATATATATATATATATATATTACACACACATATTTATATATATATATATATATATATTTATATACACACACATACACACATATATTATATATATACGTATACACACACACATATATTATATATACACACACATACACACATACATTATATATACACACACATATATTACTACACACAGAGACATACTGATATAGCACACACACACATATACATACACACAGACATACTGATATATACACACACACATATACACACACACAGATATACTGATATACATAATATTACAGACATATACACACACACAGACATACTGACATACACACACACACACACACAGACCTACTGACATACATTTAGCCACCCTCCAGGTTCTTACCTTTTTCTGGAGGGTGGTTTCCCTGGTCCAGTGGCAGGCTGAGGCAGATGGGAGTTCTCCTCTGGAACTCACTTCCTCCCAGCCGGCTGCAGAACCGGAAGAGGGGCCCGGTCACGCTGTTTAAGCGCCACAGCGCCCGACCGGGCCCCTGCTGACACATGCTCCCCGGGTGGCCTTTAGTGCATGGGCCACCCGGGGAGCCTCCCGGTCCATAGGGGCTGCGCAAATCGCGGGGCCCACAGAGCAGCTGCTCTGGGCCCCCAGGAGCAACTGGGCCCGGGGCAGCTGCCCCGTTTGCCCCGCGTTAAAGACGGCCCTGTATAAACTGCATAAGCTGACGACTTCCAGCGACCTAAAGTTTTGATAACATGTACTGGAATGTCTTGGCTTGAGGCAGTCAATGCTGCCCCTATCCTAAATGAGTGTCCAGAATATTTGTTTGCGTTCAAACCGAGTCGTGTCAACAATAGGCATACATACACCATAAAGTGGTGAGGACAGTCCCGTGAAGTGACAGGAGAGGGAATGATGCGTAAGTGGATACAGAAGGTAGGTATGCATCGAAAACTTTCACTGGGCACCATAGATTGTTGGTGGGGTAGTAAGGGATGTAAACGTGCTGACCCATCTGACTAGTCTTCATCTTGGGTAGGCTCAGAACGTAATGGTCTTGTTATTTGTTGAGGTATGAGGTGCGAAGGTAACTGTTGTCCCCTAATAGTGAATTCTTGTGGTCCGAGAAAGTCGTAGAAAACCAAGTATATGGCTGTTTTGATGACAGAATTAGTACAAGGTTCGAATAGTGCAGTATCCAGTAAGTATGATATAAACTGGAATAACTATGTCAATTGGTAATCAACGTTGTGGGGTAGGAGCATGGCCTTTATATGCCCTTAAGAATAGTCTTGATGGGGTAGGATGTGAGGAAGCTTGGGTTGTTGGGAAAAGTTGAGAACATGTGGTGTTGGATGCCAGTTAGGTATAACTTAATGGTGTTATGTGATAGATTCAACTTGAGGTGGCAAAAAGTGGCGAAAGCCACCAAGGTTGTTATGTCGAACCAGTGGGTGCTCTGTCATGAACCTTTGATACACGAAAAACACCCTGTCATATGCACTATGCGTGTTTTTTATAAGGCAAGTTTTGTCAACCCTTTGCTATGGTGTAGTAGTTTTTCTAATCCATAATTAGATCTTGGAGTAGAGGGGCGGTCGTGGCCAGTAATGAGGCGGTAGGTAGGGACCTTTTGAATACCTGAAATTGGAAACGAGATAACTGGTCAGCAGCAGTGTTAAAAATGCCTGGGACATGGTAGCATACCAGATAAAACTGGTGACAGGCTGCCAACAACGTCAGTTTCCTGATAAACCTCATAATCATTAATGAGGATGATTGGCCTTTATTTATGATGTGGCAGATTGCCAAGTAATCTGAAAAGCATTGCACTGGTCTCCCTGACCATAAATGGCCCTACGTCACTGCTGCGGCTACTATAGGGTAAACCTCAAACAGTGTTGAGTTCTTGTAGAACCCCTCTGTGTCGCACTTCCTGTGGCCAACTCCTCCCCAGCCATTTGTTCCCGAAAATGGCCGCAAAACCGGTGGATGCTGCTGTGTCTGTCCAAATGTTGGGGGAGTCTATGGATACCTGAGGGAGGAACGTGCTTCTCCCGTTCCAATTTGCGAAAAACATGTTCCAAACATGTGGAGGTCTGCAGTGGCCTGATGGTCAAGGGGGATACGGCTGTTGTCGT